GCGCTTTCCTCCTTGCTGGTAGCATTCCTCGTCCGAGTGAGACGTGGTGTTGTGCTTGGAGCACCACTAGGTAGCTCCGGCGGGCTTCGTTTTCTTCTTCGCCCTTTTCTTGATCTTGGGGCAGTTTCTCCTGATGTGCCCCGGCTCGTCGCAGCTGTGGCAGATGATGTCAGACGCGGTCGTTGCCATGGCAAATCCTCGACCAGCTATGCGTCCCTTCCATCCCTTGCGCGATTGTTCGTCCAAGAAGATGTTGCGCATGGTGGATTGCATGTCCTGGACGTTGAAGGTTGGGTCTCTGAACACAATCAGTATGACGTCCTTGTATTCGTCGGAGAAGCACTGTACGCAGATGTCCTTTAAGAGGCGGTCGGAGATGGGTTCTCCCATCTTATCCAGCTGGGTGCGAAGTAGGTGCTTCTGGTTGAAGTAGTCGTCGGGATTTTCACCAGGGTTCATGGGGTTGTTCTCCAGCTCCTCCATCTTGGCCCTGATGACCTCCTCCGTTACCCTGTCATAGTTGTTGCAGAGCTCCTCGAAGGCAGCTTGTCCGTCGCCGCTGATGCCAGTGTCGTCTTCTTGCTTCTGTATCGACAAGGCGGCTGCAAGTTCCACTAGGAAAAGAATGGCGTAGAGATCTTCGTTTGCCCTTGTGTAGGAGTCGAAGGCCGCTGTGTCTGCGGGATCTGGCTTCCTTTGTTTCTTCAGCAGTGGCAGGATGTCCTTCCTGGTCACACCTAACACCACGCAGAATTTCTTCATCCATGTCTTGAACTCGGCTGGGTCCTTTCCGTCGAATTTTTTTAGGCCTTTGATCACGGTTGCCAGGTTCGTAGAGCTATCGCTGGCGAACGCGCTTCCACCTCCTGTGTTGCTCGTTGCGGTATCCATTACTCGTTCCAGCTGTATTTTCTTCGTCTTGATAAAAGTACTTCCTGCTGTAGGAGTAAGTTTGCTCGTGGTATTACTGCCTGTACCCGAGACTTCCCCACCCCGTTCCTGCTACTGATCTAGAGGACTCCGGTTGTGGTTTTATTGTTTCCGATCCTGCTCCTGCTACTGATATAGAGGACTCCGGTTGTTGATCGCCTCCACTGATGATACAGTGTAGTTCCTTGTACACCCGATGCGTATGCCGCTCGAGACTCCCGCGCACGTGACCCTTGCTGCTAGTTCACCACAGAGATACCCGCTACTGCCACAGGGGTGGTAACGTGTGTATACGACGTGAACCCTCAGCACCTTGGTGTAGATGACCAAGTTTGCGCGTTTGCTTGTGTTGCCGTTGACCGATGACGGCGTCGCAATCTCCAGAAATCTCCGAAACCAGGTTCTCTCGTTGTCCGCGGATGAACGTTGATGTCCCGAGAAGAGGTTGCCTTGATCTTCCCGTGATGTTCGCAGCTCGTAGTGTGTGCGTTAGCCGAGGCTCATAACCTGTCAGAGTATATTTCGCTGTGCACCAGCAGCAATACGATGCTGCAGATGCCGGTAGGCTGTGTAGCCTACCTCAGAGGTTCACACTCTGCGGCTCCAACCGCGAGAGACTTGGAATAGATATATGAAGATGTTTTTATCAATCGCTGACTCCCGAGTCAGATGTTGCTGGTACTGAAGGGGAGTGAGAGTGGTGGGCGAGCTTAGGGCTACACCACTCTTCTCGAATACCGGACAAATAAGCCAATCACACGAAAGATCCAGAATGCTTCCAGAATGATTTCTGGAAGCCCTCCTACATTCTAGAAGAGTATCAACTGCAACCTAGATCTAGAACGCTTCCAGAAGCTTACAGAAGGTTTCAGAAGTTTCCAGAAGGCTTCCAGAAGCTACACACGTTTTACGTCGTAGATGTCCCGGTCAATCTTGACCTAGCATGCTTCCGGAATATTTCTAGAACAAGAGAATACATGCCACAGAGAGATGGATTCTTTTCTACTGCTACGCAGACTAGTTGCTGTAATCGTATTCAAAGGTCAAACCGTGTCCGACTACTGGTGGTCTCGACGCACGATTTTCCTGACACAACATATGTAGGACTTATTTCTACGTCACTTACATCGTAAAAATATCTCCTCTTCAATTTGAAATATTAGATTATATGCTGCATGCCTGCCTGCAAGTAGATGTCCGCGAGGAAGGAAAAGTGTGAGGTCTTCTTGCTCATTTTACGCACCGGGGCTTGAAAGCAGCTTACCGCCTCTTAGGAACAAACCCATGAACGAAGATCGATATGTGGCCGCCCCTGTGTGCTCAGCCCTGCATTCGCGTGAACCAGCATGCATGCTTCCATCTCTCATCTGGCTGGCGCACACGCACTTCTTCTAGATCGACGAAGGCTGGTGGGTGTATTGCGCCCCCAAAACCAAAATCAAACACCTCGACCCAACCCAAAACACACCCAACGAGAACACAACAAACAAACCCAACCTATGTATGTAGATCTGTCTCTTATATCCTTTGCTGCCACCACTATGCGGTGCCCTGTACAATCGCCACTTTTTCGTGCTGAACAACACACCTCGCTCTCAACAGAGAGAAACTTCCATGTCTGGCCCCTAACAGAAAACCAGGCTCCGGGATACCTCTGTGTACAAGAGGCATGTCGAATGAATGGACCTGTGGTTTGAGATAGCGAGGAACCCCCCGAACGATTGGAACCACATCCCTCCAACAGATGGGGAAGATGACGTGCTCCGGCCACGCCCGAGAAGACAGTTACATGTTGGTGAAATTGAGAGCGAAGCATGAAATCAGCGAGAGCCAAAAAAAAATAAATTCGAGTCCAGACGCCTCTTGCCATTTCTTTGGAAGTAGGGGGCGGGCCCTTCCAAGAAGCGGCGCAAATTAAAGGTCTCGTCAGCAGCGTCACGAGCATGTGCGTGTCATCGTCATCGGATGCTGCAGCTAGGAGCTAGACAAGTTGCTAGATTTCCCCAGATTGGCTATTCCTGCCTCAAACTGTTGCAGGGCGGTTTGGCCTCGGGCGGTGTTAGTATACCCATGTATGTGTGTTGAAGATGATGTATCACTTGCACTTAGGACAGCAGACACGATCAGGACGCGGCGGGAGAGAGAGAGTGCCACGACACAGCAGCACTCCCGCAGGGCCGAGTCCCGTGGATCAACCATGAAACCAACCCAGGGGACTATCAATTCCTATCTGCGTAGCCACTTCCTACAGTCCCGTTGGAATATTCTCATCCGCTCATGCACACACGAATACCCTCCCTGGTTCTTNAACTAACCACTGAGTGGGCATTCACACGCCGGATGTGACCAAACAAACCAAACGGACAAAAGACCAACGAAAAAAAACAACAGGGGGAAACCCGGCCTCCGGGTCAAAACCCCCACCAATGTTCACCGTTCCATCAAACACCCTATCCCAACGCTTGGCAAGCAGTAAAAGTGCAAGACTATCCTGAGGAGTTGGTTCAAACAACTACAATGCGGCTGCACTACTGTTTGTTCTTCAAACAAACATCAGACAAACATCGAAATCGCCCCCCCTCGCTGATGAAATACAGCGCACCAGGGCGGAAGGCAATCATCCAACATCTTCTGAGCGACACCTAACCGGCATGCATTTTTTCGGCAATCCTCTATTCTCGTGGAGTACAACACTGGTGTCCCAATTTTTCCTCCTACGTTCCTTCAGCGGTTCCAACAGTATCCCATCTTCCTGCACATTGCGCAACCTAGAGAACGGCACCACGTAGCCGCAATCAATGGGGGTCTCAACCGAATGACTAGCAGGAAATACTGAACATGTGGGCGCGAACGCCTACGAGAAACACGGAACACCCTCCCTGGCTCTTCAACCAAAAGTACAGTCATGACAATACCCGAGGATTTACCAACTTCGCTACGAATATCATCAAACACCAAAAACCGTCAAGAAAGAAGTGCCACAATCCAGCGCTGCGATGCGTGTTCCTCCCCTCCCAGCGCTCGTCCCGGCCTGTAGCCTCGCCACAAAAGGAGTTCTCGCCCCTCCCGATGCGCCACGGGGCTGCTTCGATTTTTTTTCTCCCCCTCACGNCGGCAATCCTCTATTCTCGTGGAGTACAACACTGGTGTCCCAATTTTTCCTCCTACGTTCCTTCAGCGGTTCCAACAGTATCCCATCTTCCTGCACATTGCGCAACCTAGAGAACGGCACCACGTAGCCGCAATCAATGGGGGTCTCAACCGAATGACTAGCAGGAAATACTGAACATGTGGGCGCGAACGCCTACGAGAAACACGGAACACCCTCCCTGGCTCTTCAACCAAAAGTACAGTCATGACAATACCCGAGGATTTACCAACTTCGCTACGAATATCATCAAACACCAAAAACCGTCAAGAAAGAAGTGCCACAATCCAGCGCTGCGATGCGTGTTCCTCCCCTCCCAGCGCTCGTCCCGGCCTGTAGCCTCGCCACAAAAGGAGTTCTCGCCCCTCCCGATGCGCCACGGGGCTGCTTCGATTTTTTTTCTCCCCCTCACGCTCCGTCCGACGCGCCATGGGGCTAATGTTTGCCTCCCCCCCACGCCCTCCCGACGCGCTGTGGGGCTGCATTGATTGTCGCCCTCCCGCGCCCCTCCCGTCGCAGCTGCGAGCGCACGGCCCTCCCGCCGTGTTTTTTGGTTGTGGCCCTCCCGCANCTTGGAGGCTGCGGTGGATCTGCGCCTCGGAGTACCCCTCTGCCAGCAACGTAGCTTTGGGTTTGTTCATGTCCCCGACGTCCGGCTGGGGTTCCGTGGCCCCTACGAACTGGCCGTCCATGTCTACTGTTTTAGCTGCCTGGATGAAGGCCCTTCTCCACGAGTAATATCCCTGGCCCCCTTCGAGACGCGGCGCGTGCACTGACACACGCATTTTGCTATATGGGTTCTGCTGAAAACCATCTCCTTCTCCGACGAATCCGCCAAAACCACCGGTACCGCCGCCATATGTCTCGGTTGTCTCACCTTGGGGGAGCGATCCCCTGTCACGTCCGCCACCCGGCCCAACCGCCGGGTCTGAGGGTGGCGTGATTCCCTCGTTTTGCGGTGCCCCCTCCTGGGTACCGCGGGTGGGCGCATCGCCCGTAACGACAGCGCCCACCCCAGCGCCGCCGGACTCCCCCTCCTTCTCTAACTTTCCGAGGGCGGATCGAAGCAGCCCAGCCAGCTGCTGTACCTCGTCCGTCAGGCCTGAAACTCTCTCTCCAGGTTGTCAACTCTGCCCTACTTACTAGTGGNGAGCGATCCCCTGTCACGTCCGCCACCCGGCCCAACCGCCGGGTCTGAGGGTGGCGTGATTCCCTCGTTTTGCGGTGCCCCCTCCTGGGTACCGCGGGTGGGCGCATCGCCCGTAACGACAGCGCCCACCCAGCGCCGCCGGACTCCCCCTCCTTCTCTAACTATCCGAGGGCGGATCGAAGCAGCCCTGCCAGCTGCTGTACCTCGTCCGTCAGGCCTGAAACTTTGCTCTCCAAGTTATCAACTCTGCCCTGCGTACTAGTGGTGACGTCGGCAGCCTCTGCTGCAACATCGGCGCCACTCATCCCCAGCACGGGTTCCCTCGAGGGATACACTCTAGAGTGTTACTATACCCATGTATGTATGTGTGTTGAAGATGATGATATCACTTGTATTTAGGACAGCAGACATGATCAGGACGCGGCGGGAGAGAGAGAGTGCTACGACACAGCAAGCACTCCCGCAGGGCCGAGTCCCGTGGATCAACCATGAAACCAACCCAGGGGACTATCAATTCCTATCTGCGTAGCCACTTCCTACAGTCCCGTTGGAATATTCTCGTCCGCTCATCATGCACACACGAACAGGCGGTGGGCTCTGCTGTAGCTTCTGCTCGCCGCTGTAACTCCGCATCGAGCGACTCCCACAGGATGACCAGGGTACCTGCTTGTAGCTACGGGTTGGCCCTTCAATTCAAGCTACACAGCAAGCTCCACCTCTCAGCGGTAGTCCAGCTGCAGCGCATCGCGCAATCTTGCTCTCAATTAGATGCTTCGCTCTCAATTTCACCAATCAATATGCTGTTCAGTTACTGTTGAGATGAGTTTGGTATATCCTTGGGATGAATCGTTCATAGAAGCAGCCGCTGGAAGTCGCTCGGGTGGCCTACGATGGGCACGAGAGGTGAGCAAGGTTGCCCATGGGCCAAAGGGGAGTTGCAGGGGTATGACAACCAACGTTAAACAGCCCGAAAATGTTGTCCATTCAAAGTGAAAAATGATCTATCGTAATAGTCTAAAGGACGGGTACAACCCCAGAGACCGAAATAGGGTAGCGCCACGGCTGGAGAGTGTCGGGTTAGATTTGGAACGTCCGAAGCTGTAGGTAAAAGGTAAAAGCGTTCGAGGAACACCGGGGACTTCGTTGGTGCTATTTTGGGGGGGTCAAGTACCACGGTGGACGATGCTTACCCAAGGCGCGGGTACCAGGGCACCAACCCGTAGTGGGGAGTTGGCGTATGTATGGTACAAGGTCATTGCGGTATTCGCGCTAGCATCCGAATGGCGCATATATTTTGAACAGACGTGGCAGTCTATTACACAACTCCTCAACCGCGTTGCTTTTCAGGAGAGAGAGCGCTACAGGTAGGTGTGAAATAAGGTATGCCCAAGAGTTTTATTTGCGTGTCTTTGTCTTAGGGGAGGTGTTGTTGAAGGTGGCCTGGGTGACCGTCGTGGTTGTTCCATGTTTCCATCACGGGCTAGAGCTTGAAGACTACACAGGAGCTTTGAAGAAACTGAAGGCACCCTTTGTCTTCGTGGGGGGTGATGAGGCCGTACAGCAGTACGGGCCCGGAGATAACAAACAAACCTGAAAATCGGGTCGAGGCTCATTTTCACATTATTATTCCTTGCTTTTATTTTGGCGCAGGTCAAATTGGTGTTTTTACTGGCGCAAACTAGACTGTATATAGAAACCAACACCAATCAGCCAAATTGTAGGACCTAGGTGCTGTCATAAGATTGGCTGGCACATCTGATGTGTTTCAGCTTCACAGTGTCTGTCATGCACCATTTTTTTTTTTTTTCCCGCAATGGCGACGACAAAGTCGCTCTAACAGAGTAGTGTCTGTCTCTCAGCAGTGTGTTTTTTTTTTCGGCGAGAGTTTGACTGGCAACCAACGGTTGTTGTTTCATGTCTAACAGGCACCCCCTCCCAAAAGACCTGTTTCTCCCGCAACGCCGTGGGGGCCCCAACCCCAAACCGCAAACAAACCCCAACCGGCATCGGGGACATGATGCTACAGCAGCATTATCACAGTATGTAGTAGCACATCTCCACGAAGAGCACAGCGTAGTAGGTGTTGGTGTTGTGTCGTCACACCTTTCGTGCATATAGTCTACAGCAGGCACATTACATCTGAATTCGAGGCTGGTTGGACCGTTATTATTTCCCTCCGGGGCTGGTTTCGAAACGAGAACCAACCGTCTTGTCGTTCATTGTTCGGCTACGACAGACAGAGCAGCGACTCTTTACTTTGTTCATGAAACGCGCGCAGACATCCAGAAGTAAGTGGTAAATATACACGCGATGCGTGCGTACGTACGTACGTGGAAGCACGCCGTGCTGTGCCATAGGCAGCAGCAGGCCTGTTGTGGTCGATCCGGAAGCAAGCGAGGTTCGGTGCACAGCGGCACAGGATTTTGATTGCTGCTGCTGTAGTGGCCTATCTACAACAGCAGTAGTAGTCGACTAGACTATATCATGAACGGAGAAGAAAGGGCTTTTCCAACACGGAGATGTAGCATGGATCAAAGCATTTGTTGGATTTCAGCTCTTACAGGAGGAGGACATCAACGCAGTAGTATTTTAGCAAGCTTACGAACGCATAATACAGGATACCATGAGGATTGTCATTGGTTTTGTTTCAAGTTGAAGAGGAGATATTTTTACGATGTAAGTGACAGTAGAAATAAGTCCTACATATGTTGTTGTACGTCGTATTGGTTTAATATTCATGAAAGTTTTCTGAGGTATACATCTGCAATTAATTGTCGGAAGGCAAAAAAAAATATATATATATCATTTATATGGTCCGTTTCCGGAAAAATTCACAATATTTTCCCCTGCACAAAGGTGCACTTTTCTCGGGGTTGTTGTTGTCTTCACATTAAAAACCATCCCGGTCTGTCTATCCAGTACCAACAACATAANGAGCCAGATGACATTCCCCGAAACAAAAAACGTAAGACTAGGGAAGCACTGCCCAGAGATTCTTGTCAAAATGAGGATTAGAATGAATGATGGTAGCGAAAACAAGGAGGAAAATGGTGAAAGTACTCCTAAACGAACTCGAGTTGTTGTTGTTGTTGTTGTCTTCACATTAAATACCATCCCGGTCTCTCTATCCAGTACCTCCTTCTGTCTCAATCTCTCCGTACTAATCCAGCACTTGACTCGGTCAATTTCCGTGGTCACAGGCTAACGTACCTAGAAAAGGTATACCAAAATAAAATGGACCCCAAGGGTTAGCAGAGCAATAAAATACGAGAAGAAAACAAAAGAATCAGAAACAAATAAATAAATAACTAGTGGTGGGGGTACTTATTCCGAAATCTGAAAATACCGCGTAAATCGACGTTTCAAGGCGCATCTTCGTACGGAGATTTTTTTTTTTCGTCCGTCGCTCGATGTGTGCAGATATTCAAGAAATCTTGCTTACTTTCTGGAGGGTGGTGTTTTTTGCAGACACAAAATCTGAGACCGGATTTGGACAGCCTCGTGATTTGCCACCGATGATTTTTTCNCACACACACCAGAGGACACACACACACACACACACACTCTTTACGCACGCAACGAAAGACGCACACGCGCTCCGGGCACATGGGTCGCCCAAAGGGTAAGCGCAAGCTGCCAAGGAACGCCGACGGCACGATTCGAAAGGCCCCTTCGCCCCGTGCGGACCCTGCTGTATGTAGGCAACGACTCTCCTCCCTCTTCCGACCATGAAGGCGCCAATATTTCTCCCATGCACACCAACGACCACGACGACGACTGGCGCGATGAGGATGCGAGTGGCGAGCCAGGTCGCGGGCAGGCGAAACTGCCGTTCGCTTCTGCGGTTCGCTCTGCAGCGAGCGCTGCGGTGTCTGCAGCAGCTCGCACAGCAATGGCGGCGGCGCCCGAAGTCGCGCCGCCTGCGCGAAAAAACGCGGTGCAACCTCTCCACCGGTCGACGCAGCATCGCCACAGGCTAGGCCTGTCCTCCATCGGCCGCGGCCGAAAGAGCCGATTTCTGAAAATTTCGGCCGGAAAATGGCCGCAAAAAAAAACGGCCGATTTTGCAAACAAAGT